TTTTTTTTTTTTTTTTTTTTTTTTTTTTTTTTTTTTTTTTTTTTTTTTTTGAGATGGAATCTCACTCCCGTCTCACAGGCTGGAGTACATGGCACAATCTCTGTTCACTGCAACCTCCATTCCCCCATTCCAAGCAATTCTCCCTCCTCAGCCTCCCGAGTAGCTGGGATTACAGGCATGCACCACCACGCCTGGCTAATTTTTGTCTTTTTAGTAGAGACAGGGTTTTGCCGTGTTGGCCAGGCTGGTCTCGAACTCCTGATCTCAGGTGATCCACTCGCCTCGGTCTCCCAAAGTGATGGGATTAAAGGCATGAGCCACTGCACCTGGCCCATGTTTACTTCTTAATTAACATGAAACTACTGCCTCCAATATTTCCTAATTCATGTTTCATTAACTAATGCAGCAAGAATAAACGTTTCTGTTTACTAAACACTTATAATGTGACAATCACATTTCATTATTATTATTAAAAATAATAATGAAGGTATCTTGCCGATGAGAAAATTAAAGCTCAGAAGGGTCAGGTGACTTGCCCAAGGTCATCTACCCAGTAAATTATACAGCTAGGTTCGGAACACAGATTTTCCTGGTTCCAAAGCCTACCTTCTTTCTACTCTATACTATGTGGTCTCCTAAATTCTTTTACCAACAATACCAAACCAGAAACTTCTCAAAAGCAAGCAGACATTGAGACACTAAACAAACCGCCTCCCATCTCACCTCCGGTGGTTCATTTCTGCATCACTGGCTGCATTTTTCCCAGGTCCCCAGCTGTGCCTCCGGAAGGGGGAAAGAGAGCGCATGGAGCTCCTCAGGACAGAGCAGTTTGCGGGTACTTCAGTGATACTGTCCATCTCCTCCTCCTCCATGTCACCTGGGCCAACAGGCTCACTCTCACTTTCTCGGCCCTCAGCTCCCATCCCATGGCTGTAGAAGCCATCAAGGCTTTGCCGATCTCTGGACCTGCTTGGCTTTGAAATCTGGGAGAGAGACACATCACTGCCATGAGAAGAATGTCGATCCAGAGAAGCCGTGTCGTCGGTAGATGAACTGGATCCGGTGATATCACAGACCAGCTGCTCTTCCTCGGGCTGCAATGGAGAGAAAGCACATACGGTTGAAGCCAGCAGGGCCAATCAGACAGCCTGTTATTCCAAATCAAGCCAATGGCTTCACAGTGGGTTCTAGACAGGCAAGGTCATAATTGGTTTCAAACAGAGACTTTTGGTTTTTTTATAGAATGATCACAGTTGGATTCAAATCCCCCTGGACTCGAGAAAATAAATAGCCTAGGTCTATCCTATCTATCCTTTTTTTTTTTTTTTTTAAGAGAGTCTCACTCTGTTGCTCAGTATGGCGTATAGTGGCTTAATGTCGGCTCACCACAACCTCCACCTCTCAGGTTCAAGAGATTATCCTGCCTCAGCATCTCAAGTAGCTGGGAGTAAGGAATGCACCACCAGGCCTGGCTAATTTTTATATTTTTAGTACAGACAGGGTTTCACCATGTTGGCCAGGCTGGTTTCTAACTCCTGACTTCAAGTGATCTGCCCACTTTGGCCTCTCGGAAAGCTGGGATTACAGGCGTGAGCCACCAGGCCCAGCCTAAGTCTATCCTCTTTATATCCTTTTACTAGAAGTACTAGAAGTACATAATTTTTTCTTTTGTTTTTGTTTTTTTTCCAATTTGAGACAGGGTCTCACTCTGTCACCTAGGCTTACCACTGCAGTGGTGCAATCACAGCTCACTGTAGTCTTGAACTCCTGGATTCAAGTCATCTTCCCATTTCAGCCCTGAGTAGCTGGAACTACAAGCATGTGCCAGCATATGTCCAGCTCGTGTGTGTGTGTGTGTGTGTGTGTGTGTGTTTTAGACACAGGGTTTTGCCATATTGCCCAGGCGTGTGTGTGTGTGTGTTTTAGACACAGGGTTTTGCCATATTGCCCAGGCATGCATGTGTGTGTGTGTGTGTGTGTGTGTGTGTATGTTTTAGACACAGGGTTTTGCTGTATTGCCCAGGATGATCCTGAACTCCTGGGATCAAGCAATTCTCTTGCCTTGACCCCTAAAGTGCAGAGATTACAGGTTTGAGCCACCGTGACCAGCCCCATTTTTCTTTAAGAGGAAAAATGTCAAATTTATGTTACTTCTGTCAGTCACCATCACCCACTACAATGAAAGGAATCCATTTGTCTCTGGGTTTTTTGCTATATGGAAACTAAATTCATAATGTGTTAGTAGGTTGTTGTTTCTTTTTTTATAAACAAGCTTTAACTGAAAACAAAGTAGTCTGCTTGGCTACAATAATAATTTGCTGAAATTAATACTCCAAAAATAAGTCTGTGGTTGTTTTCGGTGGCCTTCTGAAAAAAGTGGAATAGCTTGACCCCACTTAACGTTTGCCACAAATGTGTAAGTACCTGTTACAAATATCTAAATGGAAGAAAGCTATGTATTTTTCTCATTTCATTGAGAACTGGCTGAGTGTTAAGAAGCAAATCATACATTAAATAATCCGTCCTGGCAATGAGGTCTTTGATAAAGTGATGACGCTCTTTGCCTGGCTAACCTCTAGTGCCTAATAGGAATTGTATAACTTTGTCCTAGTAGCCTGACATTTTCTACTGTTGAAAGATACCAGCAGCCGGGCACGGTGGCTCACACCTGTAATCCCAACTACTAGGGAGGCTGAGGCAGAAAAATCACCGGGAGGCAGAGGTTGCAGTGCGCCGAGATCACATCACTGCACTCCAGCGTGGGCAACAGAGCAAGACTCCACCGGAAAGGAAAAAAAGGAGAAAGAAAGCAAAGAAAGAAAGAAAGAAAGATACCACAACACAGAATTTGGTGGGGGAGGGGAAGATGAGCTTCATGACACCCAAAAGGCCAAAAGTAGTACCTAAGAGATGCTTGATCATACTCTTAAGATGTGGGCACTGTCGTAACATCTATTTTGCACTCTTATGGGATGAGGGCAGGGAACAGGGAAGGGGATTCTGTAATTCTTCTTCCCTTTTCCACAATATTTTCCTAATCTACTGAATGTTTTAATTAAGGGGGAAAAATTTATGGTTCTTCAAGAAAGAGAAAAAAAATTATGAAAATCTTTTTGCTTCGGAACAGAAAACCAGCTCTATACTATAAAGAGACTCTGTTTAAAGGTTTAACGTAACAGTTCAAAAGCACACTGCCTTCCAAAAGCACTCTTTCTACCTTTTGGGCTTGATCTCACAAGCTAATGGAAGGCTTTCTTTTTCCAATTCTGTGGAATCCAGTTCCCTAGATTGTTTTTAAGTAACGTATGAGATGGGAGTGAGAGAGAAGATGCATGGGGATCACTGGACAGGTCAAACTGAGGCCCAGATAGTCCAATGGACTCAGGCATGAGCAGCAGAATCAAGATTTGAACCCAGACTGTTTTCAACTCAAATTGCCCTATTCTGGTACCTCAATCATCTTTTTAAAACCCTGTAAATAGAAGATACCAAAGTCAGTGATATTTTACAGTATCACTCTGTAAAATAAAACTACGGTTCATCCAGTAAATTCTAAATTACGGTATGTGTTTTAAAATAAAATTATGGACCATGCTTTTTAAGTGAATGAGGGACTCGGGGGCTTTCTAAAGGGGTCTATTCACGGAGCAGCTCTCCGCAGACAAGGACAATGTTAACGGTCTCGTGAAGTATCTCAGCTTTCTCACTGCACTGGGTTGAACAGTGTCCTCCTCAGATATACGTCCTTCTCAGAAGGTGACCTTATTTGGAAAGAGGGCCTTTGCAGATGTAATTAGTTAAGATGAGGTTATACTGGAACAGGGTGGATCCAACATATCCCCAGATGCAACATGAACGGTGTCCTTGCAAGAGAAGAAGACACACAAAAAGGCACAAAGGAGAGAATGCCATGTGAAGACAGAGGCAGGGGAGTGCAGCAACTACAACCCAAGGACCACCAAGGACCATGAAGAAGCACCAGAGACCAAACTCCAGAAGGCAAGCAGCCCGCTGACACGGTGATGAGGATCTCCAGCCTCCAGCACTGTGAGGAAGTAAGTTCCTGTTGTTTTCAGCCACCCAGCTTCCAGTAAATTTGTTACAGCAGCCCTAGGAAACGAATATACTCACTTTCAGCTGCCTAAATTTCTAATTCTCAAAATAATACCAAGGGACAAACAGGATGAACATCAATAAAGCAAAATGTGTAACAAGTCTGTTCTAAAACATACAAGAAAGCTTCAAAGCAAACAAAAATTCTGAGTTAAAGTTTCCATTGATTAGTTTACCATATAGCCTTCTTACAGTTAGCTATTCCCAGTATGGAAATAACTCACAGACAGCTGTATATGTGCTTCCTCACTCTGGCATCCAATCTTGGAAGGACTTTGCCTTGAAAAAAAGGCCTGCTATCTCTCTGGGACTTTACTAATCTGAAGTTTATAAAACAACCGTCTACCTTTTTGACAGTCATTAAAATAAAATGAGAAAATCTTTGGTGGCCTGTTTATACATATTTTAAAAATGAAGAGATCTGTCTAGAATATATCCTCAATACAAAGCCTTTCTTCCTAATATGTGCTTTTAACTCGGATGTCACTGAAACTACATGGTTTCTACAGGCTTGCATATCTGGTAAGAATAAAGTTCACACAGAATAATATTCTTATAACTCAGCATTTTTACTGCACTAGGCAGCTCTTTCTATGAATTGGTGGTTATTACTTGAAAAAGGATAACAGGCCAGGTGCGGTGGCTCATGCCTATAATCCCAGCACTTTGGAGGCTGAGGTGGGTGGATCACGAGGTCAGGAGTTTGAGACCAGCCTGGTCAAGATGGTGAATCCCCAACTCTACTAAAAATACAAAAATTAGCTGGGTGCTTGTAATCTCACCTACTCAGGAGACTGAGGCAGGTGAATCGCTTGAACCTGGGAAGCAGAGGTTGCAGTGAGCCCAGATCATGCCAGTGCACTCTAGCCTGGGTGACAAAGCAAGACTGTCTTTAA